TTTTCTTTAAAAACCTCCATGTATTGTGGTAACATCTTGTATCCATCTTCATGCCTACCTTCAACCATACCCCTCATGACCCTAAGAGCCCTCCAGCAAGTATAATCAGGTATGCGAGTGCTGAACTTCTTCAAAATAATTTTCTGGGCAGTAACTACACTCATCTGTTTATTATTTCTGAAGTCTTCTAGAAGGTGAGTTGCAACCCAAGCTGCTCCAGCCCTGTTATGCTTCTCTTTCACTGAACAAATATGATCCTCACATATGCTTTTAATCATCCAAGAGTGGCCATCAACTAGAACAGATGCATGAATCTTAAATTTGCAGTCCTTATTCATACATACTTGAGTGTATCTTCTCTTGTCATTTTTTATTTTTCTAAGAGAAATTCCCTTTTGCAACTGAATATGTCACCTTGCTTTAGCTCAACTTTTCCATGAGCACTTCTCACCCATAGCCTTCCAGTCCTAAACACCTTAGCCATTTTCTCAAGAATAGACTGACTGCCACTCCCATCTTCATTTTCTTCCTCATTACCCAGCATCATTTTATGGGCAGTGTTAGCATCAAGATCAAACTCATCCTCCATTTCTGACTCTTCATCCAAGAAAACTGCCTCACTACTCAAACACTCCTCCTCACTCCCTGTAAAATCACAGTCTTCTTCTTCATCTTCAGATGAAGCTTTATCATCATCAATTACCCCCTGAGAAGGGAGCAAAGGTTCCTCAAAAAAAAGATCTAGGGGAGGAACTTGGGGGTTGCTCAAGGGAGGAATGTCATAAGCTTCTAAACCGTTTAATTCTTTAGCCAAAAGTTTGACATTCAACTCAGTCCTCTCAAGTACTTTACTACCTCCCCCCACAAGCTTCTTTTTCTTCTTTTTAGAACTGCCATCATTCTCAACTGCCTCTCTAATCATTGTATTAGGTTCTGTACTTGTGGGTGAGAGGTGTGGAGAGGAAATAGTAATAGATGGAACCTCAGGGGGGTCTAAAACAGATGGTTGGAGCAACACTTCAAATGTCCTGCTCATTTGCCTTCTCACATTTAATTTAGATTTATTACCCCCATTATCTTCACTTTCAAAAGTCTGACTATAATTTGTTGGTGTCACAAGCAAATTGTCAGCCCAAAGCTCAGTATCACTACTGCTTGAGTCCTTAAAAGTTTGGGCAGTAACATGAAGTTTCTCTGCCATTTTTTGTAATGCACTAGGCTCTTCTAACTCAACTACAAATAAGGGAATGAAATTACAAGGAACTCCCCCCCAAACCTCAACCATCTTAATCCAATCTCTATCAGAAGCTAGTGCCTCTTTCTGAATTTCTTTCCAAGGAAGATGATATCTAAAACCAACAAACCTAGGAAGACTTATATTCTGTTCTTTGGCTTTGGAAATGACATCCTCGAACAAATCTTTGGTGAAGTAAATATCCAAATCAATATCTTCAATCACAATGCATTTATCTTTCACATACACCCTAAATCCCGTTGGAGCCTAAAGTATATAACATCATATGCTAAGTATATAGATTTATAAACTCATAAGAATAATTATAAAACAATCAGGACTTTGATATAACAATACAAGGTTGATAACCGAAACCCTTCATTCATGTTCAGTAGAATTAAATTGAAATTAAAAAACCCTAGATTCATATTGTTAAGTAAAATCCAAAAGAAATATGATAAACCCGAGATATTTGAAAAAACATCAGTAGAATCGATCAAAAAACGTACCATTAACACCAAGAAAGCCAATCTTGACAGGAAGCCAAAAGAGGAAGCGAATCTTCCTTTCTTACGAAGAAGAATGAGAAACGCTGGAAGTTTGTCTTTTTTGGGTAATAACGAGGGGTATAATAGTCAAATCAGGTAGGAAACGGTGCAATGGACGGAAGTTCCCTCCTCAGTCACAAACATCATATTTTAAATCCCCACGAGTAATTTTTTTTAAAAAATGGGACCTGCGAGTCTTTAACCCAAAATAAGGGGTACCTGGCAGCAATTTTTTGCAAAAACTTGTTAATAAAAAAAGATAAGGAGAATCATTTGCTAGAGCCTTTTTTTTTCTTTTACAAATTCCGCTGAGAGAGAAAGAGATAGAGAGAGGTGGAAATGGAATCTGGCGATGAAGAAGTGATGGCTCAGGATGCCAGCAACGACGGTGACTCCTACGACGACGACTTCTACGGCGGCGGATGCGGAGGTGTTGAAGACTCCGACGACGACGTCATCATGGATTACGATTTTATCGACAACGACTCTGATGATTCCGATGGCCTTGTCTCACATTACCGCTCCCAGGTACGCGCCTTCTCTGTCCGTATTGCAATCACTTGATTTTCCTTGTGGAAATATAATCAATAAATTAATTATTGTTTAAGTTGGTGGTGTGTGCTTATTTTTCGTGCAATCTGTACATTCCTATCCAAAAGCATCATTTTGACCTTAATTAGGGGCAAAGAAAGCATCCATTTTCTCTTTTTCTGTAATCACAGTGAATTCGTTGCGGTTAAACTCCATGAGCAATGATCATTTCGGTGCTTTGGTTTTCAACCAAGTCCCTGAGGATCTATTGAACCAGATCCTGATCGTTTATCAGTATTTTAGGATTTGTGTTGTCCTCCAATTGTAGGAGAATTTCAAAGCTTAGCATTAAAACGTCGAGTTCAACTTGCAATATTGCAGTTTAAGTAATGTATTCTTTTAACTTTTTAGTGGATAGAACTGATAGTGGATAGAAGAACCAAAGAATATGCTTGTGAACTTGTGATGAAGAAGTTGGGTTTCCTTGCATTCTATGGTTCTTTTTGAAGTGGAGTGTGATACTTTTGTACTTACGTTTCTAGTTATCACTCCCAAAAACTATTCATATCTGTTAAATTTCTGACACTTTGATGCATGCTTCATGTGAGCTATTCTATGTTTAGTTTCTGATACTTTTTATGCCCTAGTAATTGTATAAGTACCTAACCATTCTAGTATTCAACCCACCCCACCCTTCACCACAAAAATCCCCCTTTAGACCAACTACACCATTTTGAATGAAGCCGATATACACCAACGCCAAGAAGAAAGTATTACAAAAATAGCTACGGTTCTTTCCATATCAAAGGTCGCAGCTGGCATCTTGCTCCGCCATTATAACTGGTAATTCATTATACATTTATTTCTATATACACAACCATATAGTCCCTCCATCCCATGAAAAGGTTTCACATTTCCTTTTTTTACGTCCAAAAAGGTTACTCTTTCCTTTTGAGGAAAGAATTGTGTGATTCACTTAATTTTCTCTTTTCTACACAAAAATCAACCACACTTTAATATTTAGTAGTAATCCTATCCAGTCAATTGTGGAACCTTATTTTGAGATAGAGGGAGTACATGCTGAATGACATGATGTGGGAATTGGGAACTAAAAGTCTAAAACTTGTATACTAGACATAGTTCAAATTTTCATGCAGATCTTCATATTCATGTTTAATTTTTTAGCTTCGTTTTTGAGTCACAGGAGCGTAAGCAAAGTGAATGATGAATGGTTTGCAGATGAAGCAAAAGTCCGTAGGACTGTTGGCTTGTTAGAAAATCCTGCTCAACTTCCCATAGAAAAAGAGGTTTATTTTTAATTCATTGCAAATTTTAATCTCTGTATGATTTTTCACATAATTTACAATTTTTGGGATTTTAGTTGGATGATTGCACTCTTTTTGTTGTATAATCATGTTTTGCTAGTTATTTATTGGGGTTATTTTTGCACAGATAGCTTGTGGAATCTGTTTTGAAATGTATCCTCGTGACAGAATTGATTCGGCTGCTTGCGGTCATCCTTTCTGTGTCACATGTTGGCAAGGTCGGTTCCATGAGCCCATCATATGGTTGCAACTTATCTATACAGCCAAATGTCTCAGGGCCTCTTTGTTGAACCCCGTTTTCTTAAGAAATCTAAGATTGCCACTTTTATTTAATTATTTGGTCTTCTGTTATCTTATCCTTATTGGTGTGATGTTGCACATTTCCAATTCGATGGATTTTTCTAATATTAATTGTCAATCATTATTGAATTGGAACTCATCCTCTTGCCTTTAGTTTTCTAATACTATTTGACAATTACTCCCTCCGTCCGGGAAAGAACTTCTCAATTTGACTTTTCCTCATTTTTATTGGAAGTTGACTATATGTATAATTTGTCCAAAATGCCCCTTGCCCTTCATGTCCCACGCCATAGTCCAGCAGCCCGCCACCCCTTGCTCCGACCTTTGTCAGCCCCCACCACCGTCCACCACCACTAGCCTCACCTTCGCCTCTGCCCTATTGCCGCCACCGTCAGCCCTGCTTCGCCGTCATCTCCATATCTTAGATCTAAAAAAATTGAAACAAGAAAGGAGAAGAAATATCTCAGCCCTACCGTCGCCATGTCTGAGAATAAAAGAAAAGGGAGGAGAAAGAATATGGGTGGGGAAAGAGGAGGATAAAAAATAAGAAGAAGAAGAAGAACCATGAAGAGATCTAACAGATCTGAGAAACAAAGAATCAAAAGAAAGAAGAAGATGATGAAAAGGAAGAAGAAGAAAGTGAAGGAGTAGATCCGATCTAGAGAAAAAGGACGAGAAATAAGGTGTTATACCCGAGACCCGGGGTATAATCAAGTTGCTATTTGAAGATGGAATTATGGAATGGTGAAGAGGAAATGAGGGGGACGAAATATGGGGGTGGAACAAAGAGTTGTTTTTTTGGGTTTTTGATGAAAGAAAAGAATAAGTTCAAGAAGAAGAAATGGTGAGAAATGAAATTGGCAGAGGTAAAGTGAAGGGATAAACCAAGTTGGTGTTAAGAGATATAACACACTCTTATCTTAACTTGGGGTTTGAATCTAGAATTCAATCAAGATATGACACACTTAATTAAATATCTAGAACCTAACACTCACACTTAAGATACCACTCTTAAGATATAGATTTAGGAATTTAAATAGCAAACACAACAAGTGTATTACTAAATGGAAAATGGAATTACAATATGAGTCTCACAAAATGGCCTAAGGCCGAAATAAATGCACACACATAGAGGGGAAACTTCCCAGGAACATCCACTCACAAATCACAAGAATAATATCCATTTGTTTATGTTTTCTTAATGGAATGAAATCAGGGATTTGGTCTTTGATTTTCATGGCTGGTGGCTTGTCCTTTAGTGAGGAAAATCACAAGGAAATAAGTGATGATTCTTGGGAAATAATGGGGGACAAAGGGGATGGGTGATGGTTGGTTTTATTGGCCTTATATTGGGTCATTCATGGAAGGTATGTGGGGACTGATTTGGTGGGTGGAGTGTCAATAAACTCACAA